ATCCTCTCACTCACATGGCTCTCACATTCAGATGCCCACAGGCCCACAGCCCACCCAAATTATAAATCCCAACCACCGTCTTTGCCTCGGTGGACTTTGGACCACGACCTCCATCGCTACTCTATTTTGTATTCATTACTGATCACTAATCTTTCTCTTTTCCACATATACCCTTGCATAACACCAATGTCCTCCCCATTCTCCACTCCAAGGGCATAAACGTCATTATGGGTTCTTACATCACGTGCTTTCTCACGTGTCCACGAGGACTTCTCCCATAAATGCACAGCTGTCTGATTCTTATTACTCCCTGTAGACTAAGAATATCGTACGTGAATGATATCCAACTCCCTCACCCTTTCCTTCCTTCAGCTGTTTTATTCGTCTGACTTGTTGCACGAACAATGATGAAGATGTTCTACGGACTAACGGTTCTGATGAAGTGAGCAAGGGTTGATAGTTGACCAAAGAAGAAACAAAGCCAATCAAGATGTGGGTCCTCCAACGCTTGCATGTGGGCCACGTGTCAGAGAACCGTAAGTACAAACGGAGAACAGTTGCATGTCGCATGTCTCACTCGTCTCCCCCCMAAAAAAAGTCCCCATGGTCCATTGCATGCTGAATATAGACCAACGGTTGCCTCCCGTCGCCTTCGACCTTACTATATCAAACCTCAACCATGTGAAATCATTGAATCTCTCTCTCTCTGAAATAATATGGCAATTTTTAATCATTATTTTGGTTGGCTTCAATCTTCAATGGCCGACACTCTCTTCAAGTCTTGTATTCTAATCCAAAATTGAACATTCACGCGTAAATGTTCCTAAATCTGGAACTTTGTTGAACGGACATTATGATTCATCATTTCTCTCTTTCTATTTCATCAACAAATAACGATGATGCTAATAATGTCGCCTAATCGCGTGCCACTCACGTGCTTTAAATGCGCGTGGTTCTAGCATTCCCATTAAAGGGAATCGAAAGTCGAAACACGCAAAGCAAGGTAGACTGGTAGAGTAGCCTAGTCTAATCACTAGCGGATTAAGATGATTGAGAAGGGGACCCACTTGACATTTCTCTCTCTCTCTTGATCTAGATCGGAGACTGCTGAAGCAAAGAATAAAGAAGAGGGGGTGTCGGTGATGTAGACGATTTTTTCCCATCAGACATGGTGCATGGGTCATGGGTGCAAAGTGCAACGGTTTTTGTTCTTATGTTATATGTTTCGGGTGAGTTTTCTCCTTCTGTCATTTTAATATGGACGATCATGATTGACCCTCTTGATAACGAAGTTTCCATGTGATGCTCATTTAACCGGTGAGGCGGTGATTTTGATTAGAAACTCCCCTATAACGTTAGCTTATCCATTCTTGCCCCACCCCACGGTTTATGATACCGTAATACACACAGTCACACATACACAAGACACAACTCATGATCATTGGAGCAATGGAGCTTGGTCTCTCTATCTGATGTCCTTCTCAGTCCTTTTATCCGTCCAAAAGGATTCCAATCTGGGGGCTCAACTCTCTCCTCAGTCCTCAGCATTACACAATTCAATTAGAATTAGAAATAAATAGCAAGCAGTCTGAGCAGTACATCCAAAAAGTAAAGGGGAAGAGAAAAGTTGCTTTTCATGCCAATTGTAGATTCCAATCCAATGATTGAGATGGCCAAGATCAGAGATCTGCTATCCTGGAAAGCACAATCTCCTCATGTGCTTAATTGACCTTGTGGTCCCCGCTGCTTTTGCATTCATTATGGACAATTCATTCCATATGTTTTGATTTGCTTCTGATGAGCGCTAATTTGGTCATCTAATGGCATCATGACGCGTGATATCGTAGAACAATTTGGTGATACCTCGATACCATGCAAATAGATCACTTCAGATACTTCATAAATATATCAGCAATTTCAATACCACGCCGGTAGGTTTAACTGCGAACAGCTAGCAGGACCTTAGGTAACGGTGAGCAAAAAAAATCAAAAATCCAAATCGATTAAAATCGAATTGAAAAATTGGTTAATCAAACTGGTCGGTTCGGTTTCGATTAATCATTTAAAAAAGTCGGTGGTTAATCGAACCGACCAATATATATACAGTAATATATTTTTATATAATATTTTATTTTTTTAATCTAATGTTTAGACTGTCAAACTGAGAGTATGAGACTTTCAGGTTCACCAGTCTGGCGAACAACCTGTTTAATGGTCTGAATCGTCGAACACCCGCCGCACATCCCTTTCTTTCCCTCTCTCTCTCTCTCTCGGACTCTCACTCCCTCGTACTCCCTCTCTCTCTCTCTCTTGCCTCTCGGACTCTCTCTCTTTCTCTTTCTCACTCTTTCAGACTCCCACTCTCCCAGTTCTAGGTTATGGCCTTCGGCACTCCGCTCTCTGACCGATTCACCAACGACCTCCGACACTGGCGATCCCTCCTTCTTTGGCGACATTGGAGGCTTGGCTGTAGGTTAGAGGCTCTACTACATCTCGGCAACATTGGCGAAGTGGCAATCCCAGTTCTATTCGACTGTGTTTTTCCTTTTTTTTTTTAATTTTAAGGACATAAAGAAAACCAAAAAACCGAACTACACCGGTTAACCAGTTGCATAGATTCGGTTTTCGATTGATTAAATGTAAAAACCGAACATATCAGTTCGGTCTAAAAAATTACCCCACGGTTTGGTTAACCGAACCGTGAGCACCCCTAACCTTAGGTCGGTGTAAGAGGCGACCTACTTCCACCAAACTACCCTGGCCCCGGTTAGTGATTTGCTTGACATGTCGAGTGACCTCCCCCTTAAGTGGTCAATTGCCTTTGAATTCCCCGAGATTACGATGTCACGTTGGAAGAATTGGTTATCAGCCCACCTGTTTCAAGCGGGATTGGATAGACATTACCTGCTTGCACGGAGTCCATCTCCATATGTGAAACCACCTCCGAACTAGACGAGCCAGAGATCCTAGATGCATTTCGTGAGGCTCACAACAGTCTGCCTATATAAGGGCCTCACCTCTAACCTTAGAAGGTATGGACGATTTAGCTCTCAAACACTCTAGTTCTCTTGCATTCTTGCAATCACATTCTCAGTTTGCTGACTTAAGCATAGGAGTGCCCACCCTAGGTAAAGCAATTCGGACACTCTTATCTCTCTCACTTGCAGCTCGACCAAGCGACCTAGACTCCATTTGGCATGTTTTTTCATGTGGTCTTTCGGTTGTTTACAAGCCAGACGGACTGCACCATAGTCCTTTTCCATTTGGTTCGTAAGAGATTTAGCCGCCAAAAGTTGATGCATCGAAAAGACGAAAAAAACTCATTTTAGGCTAATTTCAGAAAGCTCCAAATCGAATTTTTTCCATATTTCTCGCTTTATTCTCATACAAATACACAGAAAAATGCACAAAAAGATATGTAATAGCTAAACTAACTTAAAACTACTCAAATCTTTATACAAAAGTTCAATGCATCTGTTAACCATCACAACTACCAAAAAAATCTTCCAAAAAAAACTTACCAAACAGCCCCTTACTTAATCTGGCGCCCGAACTGTCCGCCAGCAGGAGCATCACATCGCGCATCATCAGCTTCCTTTGATTGTAATCATCGTTAAAAGAGATGATAATCGAGTGGTTCCAGGTCTCACGATCATCTCGCGTCTTTGATAGAGTGGGAGTGGCCAATCCATCAGATCCCGATCAAACGATGGATATTACCTCTACAGTGTGGTTCAACTGCTCACCGTTCACGTGATCCATCCACTGTTGCCACATTTCCAAAATACAAAAGAAGGCCAAGTGACGTGTGACGACAATTTTACAAATAGCTCCTTTACTTACCGACTTTCGTCGGCATGCTTTCATTCTTTTCTTCCTCAGACCTAGCTCGGTGGTTGGGTTAAAGCGGGGCCCAGCCCATCCATTCTATCCGTGGGTCCCACAGTTTGTTTTAAAATCAGACGGATACCCGCAGGCAGCTTGTCGATTTTAGATAAATCCACTCGCCACCGTGTAATGTAACAGCTACAAAGTACAAACAGATGCACATGCAGATGCAGTCATGGACCAAGAATCAAAGGGAACCCGCGGCTCCACGTGTAGAAGCAGATGATGGCACGTGGCATGATGATTCCCGGACACGTCAGCTACAGGGCTACTGGTACTGGTAGAAGGTGAAACGCCAAAAGTTGATCATTGAATATACAGGAGTTGAAACCCGAAATCCGTAAATCAGTACAGACAGAGAGTCAGAAAATCAGAAAGTCAGAAAATCAGAAAGCGTGTGGCCTTGAAACTTTCTTTTACTTAACCAATTGAAGTATAAGCAGTAATTTCAACCACGCCACATGACAATGTCATGCAGGCCATACCACTACAGCACCACTTGAGTCTTGAGTCTTGACCGAAACCCAGTAGTAGTAGGCTGCTTTGGTACTTAGCAACCTACCGAGTTAATTTGTCTCACATAAATCTCTTGCGCGATTCACGGTGTCAACTATCGTAGGACAACTTAATACGGTATCATGAGTGTCATACCTCTTGACTTCTCTCGCCGTTTTTTTATTGTTTTCGGGACTCAAGTTGCTAGTACGTCGTCTTGCGACGAGACTGTGGAGGGGTCGTCTCGTCGCCGACTGTGGCGGTCGGTGGTTTTTTATGTAATTAATTTCCACTTCGGATGGCAATCTCATTTATAAAAACTCTTGAATCTAGGAGCCGTTTTGGGGAAACGCGTAGCGGATCCGATTATTTACCGCGAAAACTGTAGAATTTACCGACGAAGACGTAAGGAACACACAACGCTACCGGATAAAAAGCTTGCGTTTGCAAAATTCCACCGACAACAGTCATCGGTTTCCAAGTGCAAACAAACGCCGGTCGGTCATAGTGAAACCCGGCAAAGGGTATTTTCGTAAATTTACATTACAATTAGGCGTCGTAATCTTTTGATACAGATAAGAAATTAGGAACTGGACTCTCTCTATATGTAAACTCAAGTGGGGAAATGGAAATCATTCTGGTCTTGGATTCGCAGGCCAATCAGAGAAGTAGAGAGGTGATTCAGGTGAAAAGAAAAAGCGGAGACGGAGAGGTGAAGCCATGGAGCTGGAGGGGTTAAGATAAAAATATATAAAATAGAATAAAAGGGAAGGGAGGAGAGAAAAAAGCAACGACAGCGAAGCAGGAGGCGATGAAGTAGCGTTATTTAAGGATTTTTTTGGAGGATGAGAAATCTGAGTTAATGCTTCTTCTCTTTATTCGAGGTCACTCCTCTTTGTTCTCTCTCTCTCTCTCTCTGCCTCTCTGGTGGTTCCTTCAGGCTGTTCGAGAATTAGCTAGATCGGTTGTTTGATCGATTACAGATAACTCGCGCAGCCCGAGAAGGAAAGTAGAGAAGAGAGTCCTGAACCGCCAGACCAGATAGGTAATCTTCATACGTTCGTTCCCCTCGCTTCTTTGTTATGCTTTGCAGCTTTGTAGTAAGTTTTTGGTTTTGGTGGTCTCTGTTGTGGAGCCTGAACCTCAATTGTTTGACTTTGATCTATCTGGTTAGCATTTTCTTACTTCAACTAGGATGGTTTTGGTAATGGGTTCCTCTAAATTGGGTTATGCTGAGATGGCTTGGCTTCAAATTTCGTTTGCTGCATAGATCTCATCCTGGGTTGAATTCTAATTTGAAAACAGGTCTCCTTCCTTTTTATTTTGTTTTCAGTGTACATTGTAGAAATCAACGGGAGTTTTGATTCAGAATTTTTGGGAGTTTACAACAGAAAGTAACTTTTAGTTGTTTCTCTTGGAATGCGGAATGTGATATCTACAATCGACTGGATCCTTGGCTTGCTCTTGTTCTAGCTATGACATGGAGTATTTTTGCTCTTAAATTTAGTGTTCACGCACTCATTGTTCAAATATATGCTGTTTTTTCTGTTTTTTTTTTTTCCATTACTATCATCATTTTGCATTATTTTGATCATAAAGCTTCCTTGTATCCCTTAAAAAGAGTGAAGAATTTCTATCATTATCTTATAATAATTTGTATGCGTTGATTGTGGGAATTGGATCGAAATAGTGTGACTTTTCTTCTTTGCTTTTTTTGTTTTTTCTTTTCCTTTTAAAGTAATATGAGAAACACTTTTTCTTTCTTTTTAAGATTTTAGAGAGAAGTGATTGGGTAACAGGGTTTTAGTTATCACTTATCAGTGGAGTCGAATAATGATAACTTTCTTGTGTATGAAGAAATGATTAAATTATCTACATATACATGTGATGCATCAATACCTTTTTTTTTTTTTTAATTTGTTTGCTTTTTCTTTTCTTTTGGCTTTGTTATGTGAGATCACCGTTTTCTTTCTTTTCTTCTTGACTTGGTGGGAAGGGCCGTTGTGAGAGTACCCAGAAATCATCCAATTGAGAGCAAGATCATGAGATGTTTAAAAATAGAAAAGGGAAACAGAAGACAAAGGAGGAACTATGAATGATGGTTGTTGCTACGTTGTAACCTTGAATATCGGCATTAACCCGTATATTTTTCTTTGATTACTGATTTTCTATAGTATTCTTTTTCTTTTTCTTTTCTGCCTGTGATTCTGTCTCTGGGTATTCATGGATCGATGTCTGATCTGGTTCTATGTTGTTTTAGAGGTGGTGAATGTTCAACCTTTGGATTATCCCATAAAGGCAGTGTACTCTACATTCCTGTTTTTATTGCAGTCAGCTTGATTCATAATAAGTGCATACATGTTAAATGATGGGTGGGCTTCGTTTTTTTAGCTTGTTTCTGGACTCTGTTCTACTTATTCCCCTTGATTTAAGGTTATGAGGATTAATTTATTTTTAGAAATTTGTTGCCTGCATATGGTAGCACCTTTGGTGGGAAGAAATTTGTTAGATTTGCGTTGTAAGAATGTTTGTACTGAATGGAGTTATGTATTTGAGGCAAAATTTGGCCTTTATGATAAGGCTAGCTTCTTTTAATCTACTTATCTGAGATTTAAATGAACAATTTCTATCACTTTTTTGTTGAAGTTCTTAAGCTTTGATATAATTATTATATTGTTGGATACTTTAGACTGTAGTTGCTCCATTAGAAATTTGGATTGTTCTGTTATTGAAGGCAACTTCTATGATACCTTAAAATTTTTAATCAATCAGAAACTCTCCTGAATTTGAATGAATACCAGTAAATTGGTTTCCAATTGGAGATTATACCGAGTGATTGGTGATCAGCTTTTTGGTTATCATAGTTGGATTCATTATTGAAACTGTCATGGTTTTTCCCCCTCTGTATTAAAGAATCTTCAACCAACCTATTGTGGTTCAATGTTCATCCCTATGTATAAGTATGCACTAATAAATTTGTAATGGAATATGGCTTTCATCAAAGACAGCTCTCCAGGTGTCAGGTTCCTGCTATTATGTGGCTTAGGGTTTATCTTCTTGTCCACTGCAGGTATTTGGTTGTCAGAGGAAACCATGAAGAACAAAGATAAAGATGGAAAACCATACCCTGAAAAAAGTTCCAGGGTGATTCCTATGACTTTAACGTTGGTTGTACTATGTGGACTTTCATTCTATCTTGGTGGTATTTTCTGCTCTGAGAAAAACAGATTCCTTGCAAAGGATATCACTAAGGATGTCACAAGACCAGTAAAATCTTCAAAAGAAGTTATATCTACTACTCTTAAAGTTGATCCAGTCTTGTTCCCTGAGTGTGGCATTGACTATCAAGATTATACTCCATGCACAGACCCAAGGGTATTTCTTGACCTCTGAATTCATTGTTCTATAGCTCTTGCTGATCAGGGCCCAAGATACAAAATATCTATTTGCTTATGTTGGAACATATTTTTTTTTTTTGTTATTACAGAGGTGGAGGAAGTATGGTCTCCAAAGGCTTACTTTTATGGAACGTCATTGCCCTCCAGTGTTTGAAAGGAAAGAATGCTTGGTTTCTCCACCAGATGGGTACAAGCCACCAATCAGATGGCCAAAGAGCAGGGATGAATGCTGGTATAGGTACTGTAGCTAACTGTAGTTGAATCCTGCTGGTTCCTTAGTTTTTCTTCTGGATTACTCTTGAGTAAATCTTGCTAAGTGCACCATTTATATCATTTCAGAAATGTGCCCTATGATTGGATTAACAAGCAAAAATCTAATCAAAACTGGCTGAGGAAACAAGGAGAGAAATTCCTTTTTCCTGGTGGAGGTACAATGTTCCCCAGAGGAGTTGGTGCTTATGTTGACTTGATGCAGGAGTTGATTCCTGAGATGCAAGACGGAACCATCCGAACTGCACTTGATACTGGGTGTGGGGTAAGTACTTTTCTCAGCCTAAGTCCTAAGATTGGGGGGGGGGTGGGATTATGGAGTCTTAAGATGGCCAAAATTTCTAAAACTTAAGACCTTGGGTAACAGTGAGTGTGAATCTGATTTGCCCCTGTTTGCTGCTAGCTAATATGTGCAATTTGATAACTAATGCATCATTTAAAAAAATTTCTTTTTAGTTCTTTATGCAAGTTATTTTATTTCCACCATGTCAGAGATGTTGACGAGTGATAAAATTTTATGCATGCTCTCATTGTCTGTTCTCCCTCGTCTGTTTTATTCAAGCATGTTTTACTAGATTATCATTATAGATAGACAAAGTGCTAAATAGTCATATTTTGCTAAAGGTAGGCCAATTTCTTCTTGAAGACGTCTTGGTTCGTGTGGTTATAGTTAACAGGTTCAATTTATTCCTTTTCCAGGTTGCTAGCTGGGGAGGTGATTTGTTAGACCGTGGGGTTCTCACTGTCTCTCTTGCGCCAAGAGATAACCACGAAGCTCAAGTTCAATTTGCACTTGAACGTGGCATCCCAGCAATTTTGGGAATAATTTCTACTCAGCGGCTTCCATTCCCTTCAAATTCATTTGATATGGCTCATTGCTCAAGATGCCTTATCCCATGGACGGAATTTGGTACTTTCATTTCTTGAAATCCTTCAAAGTACTATTGAGAAATTTTAGTTGATTTGACTCTTATGAAAACTTAAATTCAGATCTAATTACATGATCAAGCAGAAACATTTGTTTCATTTGATGCTGTTTTGCACTTATTTCTTGTCAGAAAAAATAAGAATATCTTTGTTTCGGACCTATTTGTTCATTTGAACCTTCTTTTTTAGAGGAAACTCAAGGTGAAGTTACCAACCGGGTAGATTTTTAGGAAAGTGGTACACACCTACTAGCTTCCTCTGGTTAGAGGTTTCACAACTGGAGGACAGTATCCATCGCCCCCTTTTTAGTATTCCAAAAAATATGAGTGAATATAGATGGTTGCCAATGGGTTTAAACACCTTGTATTGGTGATGGCACCTTGCCTTATTGGTGTTTTGGTTATCATAGAACATTACTTTTTTTTTCCTGCTATGTAAACTTCATTAGGTTAATTTGATAAAATAATTTGTTTTTGTCCAACTGATTTGTGCTTGTCACCATATTGCCATTTTGTTGCTTCACTACTGATGGTTATTGGCTTGCTTCTAGGTGGAATATACCTCCTAGAAATACACCGCATACTCCGCCCTGGTGGCTTCTGGGTTCTGTCTGGGCCACCAGTGAACTATGAGAACCGGTGGCGAGGATGGAACACAACTGTGGAAGAGCAGAAAGCAGATTATGATAAACTACAAGAGTTACTGACATCCATGTGCTTCAAATTATACAATAAAAAAGATGACATTGCTGTATGGCAGAAATCTAAAGATAATAACTGCTATAATAAGCTTTCTACCCCTGATGTCTATCCTCCCAAGTGTGATGATGGTACTGAACCTGATGCTGCATGGTACACTCCTCTCCGCCCTTGCGTTGTTGTTCCAAGTCCAAACCTTAAGAAGCTGGGGTTGAAGTCACTCCCAAAATGGCCTAATCGGCTGCATGTAGCCCCTGAACGCATTGGAAGCATTCGTGGCGGAAGTGATGGTTTATTCAAGCACGACGATGACAAATGGAAGATGCGGGCCAAGCACTACAAGAAGCTACTTCCTGCAATTGGGAGTGATAAGATAAGAAATGTTATGGATATGAATACAGCATTTGGAGGCTTAGCTGCAGCCTTGATTGATGATCCCCTGTGGGTTATGAATGTTGTTTCTTCCTATGCTGCCAATACACTCCCAGTGGTCTATGATAGAGGATTAATTGGAACATACCATGACTGGTAAGTCAATTGCATATAATTGGTTTATTCAGTTACTGCATCATCAAGTACAGTTCAATGAAGCTTGATATTTTTGATCCATACTGAAGCTTGATATTAACTTTTCATAGATTTCCTGTGACATGCTTGTCAGTTATGAGCTGAAATGTGTTACATTTTTTAAATGCATTATTCTTTTCTTACCAAAAAAAGCGTTATTCTTTCATCACTTGGAATATGTTACATTTTTAAATGCATTGTTCTTTTTTTTTTGATGAATAAAATGCATTATTCTTTCATCACTAAAGAGTGTTAACTTCGCCATTTATTGGCAGGTGTGAGGCATTCTCAACATATCCTCGAACATATGATCTCCTTCACCTTGATGGGCTTTTTACTGCAGAAAGTCACAGGTAGAAGACCCTTTCTTTTTTCAAATTTTTCTGTTAAATCTTCTTGTAGTTTCTTTCTGGAACATGGGTTCATGGGCCCTAGATCTATGTTTGCTAGCAGTAGTGGGAATGTGGAATGGGGACCTTCTTGTTAAACCATAGATGCCAATCTATGGTTATTGATTTGTTGAAGGTTGTTCACCCGCATGCTTATTTATTTATTATACCATGGTATTTGTATGCATTCTGATAAGAAATACATTGGAAACAAGGATTGGATGCCAAACTCATCTTCGACAAGGTCTATATTTCCCAATTCTGATGACATTGGTTTCCACTATGGCAGATGTGACATGAAGTATGTGCTCCTGGAGATGGATAGGATTCTGCGTCCAAATGGTTATGCAATAATTCGAGAGTCCAGCTATTTTATGGATGCCTTGACAACCATTGCCAAGGGGATGAGGTGGAATTGCAGGAAAGAAAACACCGAGTATGGTGTAGAAAAGGAGAAGGTATTGATTTGTCAGAAGAAGCTATGGTACTCTTCTAGCAAAGAGTCTTAGATAAAAATAGCGTTAACCCAATGAAAATAGAAATCGCTGGGAAGACTTGTAGAGGAAGTGAGATAGAAGCATATAATTCAGTGAAAGTGAAGATGGAGGTCGCACAAAGTTTGCGGGTACACAGAAGATTTCAAACTATAAAGCCGAAGCCATAGAAATCAAAATTGGAAGTTTATTTCCTAAATAATCTGATTCATTAAGGTCTGGTCCCTGATACAAGTATATTCTTTAAAGGCAGTCAACAAAGAGTAGAAACATGTAATTTTTCTTTTATTCCTTTACTCTTTTTTCGCTCTTTTGCCTTTATTTTCCTATGATAATTTGGGAAATTAGGAAGTGTAATGGATTTCAAGTGCTTCAAGTCAGCAGCATTCGCTTATCAAAAAAAAAAAAAAATGGTCAGCAGAATTTGCTTTTATATGTTGGGTATTTGCTAAAATGCGCTTGTGTCCATATTAAGAGTAGTTTCTGTGAATGTGAATTTTTCCCCTCAATTGTCAAATCTAATRTTAATCTAGATTGTCAAATCTCAAATGTTAATGCTACAGATGGAGCGTGTCATAGGGTGTTCTTTGATGTGAATTGTTTTTCTTTTTGCCGGCTCCAAAAAGATCAAACAAAACCAGTTGGTTTGAACTTGATAACAAATATATTCTGTACAGAAAACAAATTCTTGAATGTGTTTTTTGTTTTCAAAATCGAAACTTGAGGTGGTGTTCGGTATTGATGCTGTTTTCTCAGAAAATGTCATCACATTGGTGCCATGTCAGAAAAAAGTGGTGCTTCAGAAAACGGTTCTCTTACTTGATATCATTTTTCTAGAAAAAATGTTGTTCTAAACCACATCTTGGAAATCGGGAAAGTGTGGTACGAAGAAATACCATCTTGGGTGTAGGATAATATAGACCAATGCTGAAAATGGTTATACAGTATTGGTATTTTTGCATATGTTTAGAACTCGTGGGTGTTTATTGAATAAACACTGCCACATAGGCGCCACTTCAGCATTTTCACATTATGTGCAATCTGTATGCATAGACTTGCAAAAGCAGGCCTTGATTTATGTGCATACCTACCATTGGGGGAAGCTTCATTTTAACGCTTCCCCCAACGGGTAGGTGTTTATTCACCGTTTTGTTGATGTGGTGCCTAATGTCACCTAAGTGTTAAGTGTTAATAAACGGATTTATTATTGCTTTTCTTGGTTTTGCAAACAAATCAAATACAAATGTTTAGTGAATAAATGCCCACGGTTTCAAATACAAACAAAACCAGTGTTGTTTTTTGGGCAGCATATGCCAAACAAAAAATGAAGCTATTTTCTGAGAAAACAGTGCAATAGACCCTTATGCATATAACACCATTTCTCAGAAAACGTCTCTAAAGCAATGAAATTGATGCCAAACACCTACTAATATGTTTTCAAGTTTCCGATTTAAAAAGAATTTTGATATATTAGTCACAATATTATAATCACATTCAATGAGCACTTCATAAATATTCTGACAACTATTATAAGTACATGAGCACTTCATAAATATTCTGACAACTCTCAAAAGTTGTTTTTAATTTTTTTCAAATAGGTTGAGGAATTAAGGACAGGTGTCAAAAAATTTCCAAAGTCATTGAATGTGATTACAATGTTTTCATCTTGATACATACCTAACATAAATCAATAATTTTTACCACTATTTTATTAGTCCGAAAAACATGTATTCTTTTTTTTTAAACAAAACAAAAACAGAATTCAAGAAAGTTTTTTAAAGAAACAAAAACCCCCTCTAAACCTTTCCTTTAATTGTTTTTAAGAAAATTTTCCATGGTAAAACTTAAGAAAATTAGGATCAATCCTAAACATTAACAGTGATGGTAAAACTCAAATAGGGTGCAACTTGGATTTTAGTTGGTTGGGACTTTGATGAATTTTCAATGGACCCAAACCCCAACCCAAGACTCAAGATGTAGTTGAAGTTCTTCAAATTCAGCAACCTGATTTAAAGTCCCAGATCCAAACCTAACTAAATTTCTATTTAAAGCCATGCATTGCGTGGGATTACTTGCTAGTTGATATTAGACCATACATGTATGTATGATGTATTAACTATCTAATAATGCATCTAAGACGTATCTAAAAGCCACATGGTATATCATAAACATATTCCAGTTTCATGTGACAAACATGTGATATTGCACGTGGTACATATACTTGTCATGTTGCATACCATTTAGGGTCAGTTTTTGTTTTTTGTTTTTGTTTTCTTTTCAGGATTTTGAGAGGGGAAAAGTTGGTCAATGGCATTTTAGTTCCCATTAATCAAGATACCCGTGTTTTTTTTTTTTTCATATTTATGTGAGGTTCATGGAAAGTTTCTTTTCCCTATGTATCATTTACCTGAGTGATACCCATCTTCTAGGTTGGTAATGCTAAATAACTTTCCCAYCCAAGGGGAAAGTTGCCAATACTTGGATGTGACAAAATTGTCCCTTTTAATGATAGCTTTTTATAGATAAAATGACCATTGTCTTATTTACTTGAGAAATAAATAAATATGGGTAAATACACTTTGGTAAATATTTTCTTAGAAACACTTACTCAGGTAAGTGCATCTACTTAGGTAAATAACTTCCCAAAAATGCGAACAGGGCCTTAATATAGCATTTGGTGCATATGTAACAATACCATACAGGCTTAGTTCATTTTTCTAGGAGGTGGGGGTGGGAAAGTTTGTAGGTTACATGGAAAAGAAATAAATCTACATTCATTTTTTAATTTTAATGGGTCCTATGAAAAATAACCGTTCCCGAATGAATCATTTATTTTAATGTGGTATTCATCAAAATTCATTAACAGGAGATTTTGTCACCCACTAAATGCCGCACAACTGAATGAGTGGGGTGCATTTGGGCGTGCCCAACCCAAATCTGAAACGAATCAGTCTGCAATTTTACATCAGATGGGATTGGATTTTTGGTTCTTGGATTGATCTTTAGTCCAAAAGTTCGGGAGTTTTTACTTTTTGGTTCTTGGATTGAGCTTGGCAGCATTAATTCCTCCGGAATATATATATATATATATATATATATATATATATATATCATCAAAATTGAAAATTCATTCACGGGGGGTTTTGTTCTTATGATATTATGTCTTTTCAGTATTCTCACCCACTAAATGCCACACAACTGAATGAGTGGGGTGCACTTGGGCGGAGATGGGATTGGATTTTTGGTTCTTAGATTGATCTAAAAGTTTGAGAATCTTAACCTTAACCCTTAAGCAGTTTGGACAGAGTACAAATACAAATATGTAGAGTGCAAATGCATGAAAAATAATACAAAATATAAGATTTTGCACTCTACATATTTGTATTTGCACTCATTCCAAATAGAGCTTTAGGTTTTCTGAGCACACACACATGTACATACATACATGATCACATTTTTGCTTAATTTACTATAAATAGATTGAACTACTCATCAGACATGAACTTGAATCCAACCCAAGCGCATTAATTTTCAATGCAGGTTGGGCCAAGTCTGATCAGCTAGGCAAATTTTTAGGTTGGACCTGGGTTGAGCTTAAATGCGACCTAACCCTCTCAATTTGTACCCTAGGTGATATAAGACCATTGGGCTGGTAGAAGATCGTGTCATCATTGCGCGCTGAAGAGGATTCGGACAGAGTGGAGATGAGGAAGATATTGATCATATTTTTAAGAATTATTCCCATACTAAGCAAATTTGGCTTACCATTAATGCTCCCTTGGAGGGCCCAAATGAAAATGATAATTTAAGTGATTGGTGGACAAGGGTAGACAATAAAAAGTAGAACCAAAATCTTTTGGTAAGGGAAAAACTTACATTTATTCTAAAATAGGAATTCTAAAAATTTAATAACTTAACAACTCCCATTCCGATGATTTTGGACCTGACTCTCGGGATGTTTATGGAGGATCTTGATGGGAATAAGGTCTTAAACCTTGACTGAATTGATAAACATTGGAAACCAATAAGTTGGATTACTCCAAAATTTGGTACTATTAAAATAAATTTTGATGCTTCTCACWGCATTGATGGGAAGTGTTCGGTTGCCAATATTGTTCATGATCATCTTAGTTGTGTGATAGCTATCAAGGCTTTTAAACTTGACAACTGTATTGTTCATGATCATCTTAGTTGTGTGATAGCTATTAAGGCTTATAAACTTGACACCTGTACCATCAACCAAGCAGAAGCTTGGGCTGCGTGGGAAGCCCATATTCAAGCAATGAAATATAGGGGGTATCCTATTACCATTAAGGGCGATTCAGATCTTGTCATCTCTTGCCTCAACACAAAGTGAAATTTCCATGGGAGTTGAAAAGCATTATCTCAAGCTGCTGGCGGAGGAGAGTTCTTTTCGATAAAGGTCTTCATTACCAGCATGTTTTTAGAGAGCCTAATCAGGCTACAGACTGGCTTGTTCGCAAAACTCACTCTTCCCCTACTCTTCTGGACTTTAGATGTCATTTTCTTCCCTCTTCCCTTCTTCTTATTTGTTTTGTTGTTTTTTGGGATGTAATCCCTCATTGTGTTTAGTAGGAGTGGGAATTTCTCACCCAACCCATTGAACCCACCCAACTCACCTAGTATCTAACCCACCCAACCCACCCATTTACTTGGCAGGTTGGAAATGGGTTGATCACCTATTGGGTCAATTTAAATGGGTTAGGTCGGGTTGGGTTGTGGATAACCATTGGTTAACCACTAAACATACAAGCATTAATTCTTTAGCATTTTTTTTTTAATTTTCTTCATTTGAGTGAAATAATTTATAATTAATGCATTAATTTTCTATTAATTATTGACTAAAATTAGTTTTCCCTCAAATTAACACACTTCACCCAAATCGACATAAATCCAAATCAATCTGACCCAAGTACGGACCAGTTCAACTTGGTCTAAATATTAACAGACCCGATGACCTTGGTTTGGTTTGTTTGGGTTGACCAGTCCACTCCGAACCCAACCCGATCTAGATCAGGCCAATCTGGGGCAATCCAACTCCAAAGTGGTTTTAGATGGATGGGTTCGACCCAGGCCCGGTACGATTTGGCATGCTTGCTTTGACCAATATGGATCACCGGTCCCAAACCACTGCACAACCTGATATGGGCCGGTCCGAGTCAATCCACAATTGATTGAACCAATCTGGTCTAGTTTGATCGGACTGATCCGAATCCAAACAGTTCAACCAGTCTTAATGTGATTAGCTTGAAGAAAATCCAATTAGATAGTTCAAGGTCTGACCGGTTTGAACCTAAGTGGTTCGGTCAAGCCCAAAACCCGAACATAATCAAATGGCTTCGCCACTTGTGTAAAAATAACATGCATGTTACTATGATTTGAACCTTCACCACTTGTGTAAATAACAAGTACTATTACCACCAAACTATGGCGAACTTATTTGTCAAGTGAGAGTTAGTTTCTGTTTTTTTTTTTTTTTAAAGTACATAAATATAAGATTAATGAGTTTAGGTGGGTTGAACCCAACCCATAAAACTGGTTCATTAATGGGTTGGCAGATTAGGTGAATTGGGTTGAAGCTCAACCCAAATCAAACCCAACCCAATCCGCCACCGCTAGTACACTTGTGTCTTTTCAAAAAAAAAAAGAGGATTTAGAGTGCATATAATGCATGTACCTGTCACTTGACTCTTTTTTTCTTCGGCACTTAGACATTTAGAACATGAGATTTATCTTATCATACATGGTATATAATAATATCTATGTATCATACATGGTATGATGCATGGTATATAATAATAATACATGGTATCTATGAGATTTAGCTTATCATACATGGTATCTATGAGATTTAGCTTAATTGGATCAGATAGGGTATCATACATGGTATCTATGATATATCATTCATGATATTATAATAATAATAATAATTTTTAATCTTTCTTGCGTTTTAATTGGATCAGATAGGGTTAAATCCGCATATAATCTGAATATTTTCATTGGAGATAATGAGATCTGATGTTAAATTTCCAAATTCATTGATCTCCCTGTTAATGTGCAACCCTATCTCTAGGACAGTCAACCCATAATGAACTGGGAAGCAGGGATGGTTACAAAGGTTTTGTTTGGTATCATTGTTGTTTTTGCTAAAAATGTTTGAGATTTATTCATACAAATTTTTGAGAAATTGTCATGTTGCACTATATGTGATATCAAAAAAATGTATGTATTGGATTGATGTTGGCATCAAATTTGGCGTTTTTGGTACTTCAAGAGAAAGAGTTGTATGAGATATTGCGCATACTACATGACACTGCATGGTGCAGAGCAATAGGCGCTCATGGGTTTGTAATGATCTAGAGGCCCTCTTTTATTCTATCAAGAATAAAACTATATAACAACTTTAATGGAGTTTTTTTTTTTTTTTTTCTAGTCTATGAGGGATTAAAGTCACTACACACCCAAAATAAAAGAACCAACTTCTATCACGTTAAAATATGTGTTGTGGAAAAAAAAAGTGTATTGATGGCAACAAATACTTCATATTTTGAAAAACAAATAGAATATTTGTGATAAAACAAAGTATTCAACGTGATAACGGGTTCGACTATGATATGGAAAAGATATGATATCTGAAAAGCATTTGACCAATCAATTGGAATTATAAAGGTGATAGCGAATTAAGTGTTATTTATCAAAATTCATGGGTGGGCTTTGATTGGTCAAAGCTCTTCCCATACCATATCTTTTTCGCATCATATATTTTCCCAACAAACTACTTCATCTAATTAAATAAGATCAAATGAAATAAGGGCCCATTTGATTTGCAGGAATAGAGGTCTGGAATTGGAAATCCATGTTCGTTCTTGTTGGAATGACATTTCTCCCGTTTGAGGGAATGGCCATTCTAGTTTATTTCAATTTTGATTCTGATTCCAGTCTGAACCAAATAGATCATGGGAATATACCGTTTTGATCCCAATTCCAATGGGTGCCGATTCTCATTTCAAGTGCAAATCAAACAGACTCTAAATCCCGATTCCAATTATATTTATAAATCTATCTAATCTAATGTTCTTTTAAATACTCTTAAAGCAAATATAATAATCTAATCTAAGTATATTTTTAAAGCAAAATGATGGAATGTCTTAAAAGTACTAATTGAAAAAAACACTTTTTAAAAATAAAATCAAACATGGCCCTAATCTAATCTAATCTAATCTAATCTAAGTATATGGGTTAGATTGACTGGAGTCATTTTTACTTGCGACACGTGTCTTTTTCTACTTTTTCTCTCTTCTCTCTATCTGTCTCGCCTAGTTAGAACTAGACCTATTCATGGGTTGGGTAGTCCGATGGGCCGGCCCGACCCCCGAACGGGCTTGAGCATGCATTTTAGCCCACGGGCTTGACTTCGGGCCTAAAAGCCCGAGCTTCACTATTTTACGGGCCGGGCTTGGGGTTTGTTAAAAAAGCCCAACCCAGCCTAACCCGACCTGACTTTTATATAAGTTAAACCTAAATTCCTAAACTGCCTAACCCTAACCCTAAATTCTTAAAACTTTTCTTTTCATTCTCCTTTCTCACTCTCACTTCAAAAGCGGCTCTCATTTCTCCCTCTCAACTCTTAGAACCAGCGAACCCAACTGCACTTGCGAACTCAGGCATCGGCGGCCGGCGCCACCAGAACTAGTCATCTCTCTCTTCAGCAGTGATCTCTCTCTCTCTCCACCTGACACCATTTTCATATTCTTTCTTCTCATTCTCAGTTCTCTCTCTTTTTAGAACTAGGTCTTCTATATTCTTAGTTCTCTCTCCAGCCAGCGCCATCAGAACCCAGGCACACTGTTTTCATTTTGCGAACTCATGCACCGGTGGTTGGTGCCACCAGATCTAGATCATCTCTCTCTCCAATGGTGAGCTCTCTTTCTCTCTCTCTCTCTGGCTGGCACTGTTGTCATCTTCTATCTTCTCACTTTCTTGATTTCTATTTTATTCTCACTCTCAGACTTCCAGGAATCGGCGAACTCAGCAGGCACCATTCTCTTAATCTCAGAGGGCATCAGCGCTTAGACTCCCAGGTCGGGCTTTAGGCTCAGGCCCGGGTTTCAAGCTTTTTATGAGAGCCGGGATCGGGCCCAAGTTTTAGGTCCGTTGGTTGGGTTAGGTTCGGGCTCGGGCTTGAAAAATTTATTTTAATGAAGAGCAAAAGCTCAGCCCGACCTGGCCTATGAACAGGTCTAGTTAGAACATAGAAGTCCGTCTCTCACATCTAGAAGCGGAATTAGCTTCTTCACTCTACAAACTATACGCTTATTGATGCATTCAATGGCGATTCTTCCTTGGGATCTATTAAGTCCATCGCTTTTTCTGAAGGAAAAAGTCTTCACCACTCATTCATTGGTGAGTCTTGGAAGCTAAAACCAACAAAACGACACCAGATTGTGGCGACGCTTCCCACCAGGCCACCATCAAGGATTGACTTTTCCTCTACCCAACCCAAGAATGCTTCACAAGAAATGGTTTTGGAGTTTGGATTGAACACGCCGACTTCGTTTCTTGGGACAAAGTGCTTGAAGATAATGGCGGGCTTCGGATTTCCGTTGCTTGGAGTCTCTAAAAGCGCATGAAGACGCTGATGGTGAGCCCACTCATCGGCCCATACGCCAGCTAATCCAGATAAACCTCATCCATATGCCAGCTAACCAAGATAAACGTCATCCACTGTAACTGATCAAGATAAACCAAACTTCTAAGAAATCTGATCTCTATTTGTGTATATCATTGTACATATAACCCTATCACTAAACAACTATAAATACTATAAACGATCATCCCAAGATGTGAATGATCTTTCTGTTCAAATCAATTTTGCGTTTACTTCTTTATGGTATCAGAGCCATAGCAAAACTGCTCCATCATGTCCACCTCAACTTCAACTTCTCAGATTGACGCCGGTTCGTTCCCAACACCGTCTTCATTGGTGATATCAAATATCTCCACTCTCGTACCCATAAAGTTGGACAACACAAACTATCTGCTATGGAAATCACTATTTGAGCCCATACTTATAGGGCATCGTCTCATGTTTTTCATCGATGGATCCGAACCGGCTCCAAGCACTGATGATCCTATGTTCAAGACCTGGTATGAACACGATCAGATGCTACTATCCTGGATTCAAGCTACTCTGTCCACATTAGCTCTGCCCTACATGGTTGGTGTGAAATCGTCCAAGGAAGCGTGGGATATTCTGGAACGTCGTTATGCCTCGTCCACCCTCATGCACGTCATTTCCCTTCTCAAACAACATCATCATTTGAAAAAGGGATCTCTCACCATGCACAACTACCTCCAACAAGTCAAAGCTATTAGTGATCAAGTCACAGGATGTGGTGCACCCGTATCTGATGACGAATTGTAGATCTATATTCTGGACGGATTGCCATCATTTTATTGTCCATTTTCTTACACTATCCATGGTCGTGCCCGAATTGCAGCAGTTACTCTTGAAGAGCTTCATGACCTGCTTATTTGTGAAGAAATGTCACTTGTAGAGGATGTCCCTACAGAGAGCTCCCATGCTCTTGCAACAGCCAAGACACGACAACAACATTCTCGCCATCATAACTTATCAAATCGCCAGTACACTCAACAGAATGAATACAAACTCCAGCAACATCAGAATGCACCCGCCTCACGACCTTCACAATCTAATCAAGGGTGTAACCATCTTCGTCTCTGCATCCAACCAACAATGGCTCCAGACCGACTTGCCAAATTTGAAACAAAGTTGGACACATAGCCATTGACTTCTTCTAGAGGCAGAATCTCACCTATCAAGGCAGACATCCACTGGAAAAACTAGTCACGATGGTAGCTACATCCCGTGATCCTCTTGATGATGGCACATGGTACTCTGATACCGGTGCTTCTCACTACATCACTCTAGATCTTGGTAAAGTATCTAACCCGCTCCCCTATGTTGGTTCCAACTCAGTCGCGGTGGGTAACGGACATGGCTTAGACATCAAACATACCGGCACCTCCACTCTAACCTATCCATCCTCCACTTTTCTCTTAAACCATGTTCTTCATTGTCATGATGCCTCTTCCAACTTACTTTCAGTTTACCAATTTTCGAAAGATAATAACTGCAAATTTATTTTTGATGCATCTAGCTTTGTTGTGCAGGACAAGGTGACCGAGAGGATCCTACACCATGGACCAACTGAAGGAGAACTCTACCCCTTTCATCCCACCTTAGCAGTCAGCAACCCCACAGCTCTCACCACCCGCAGCCCCACTGAAGCCATCTGGCACCATCGCTTAAGCCATCCATCTTGTGATATCCAATCTACAATTTTTTCATAGTTATCTCTCAAAAATAAAAACAGTCCTAATGTGTGTTCGTCATGTCAACTTGGCAAAAGTTGTCGTCTCCCTTTTCTACTGTACATCACCATTCTAGCAAACCACTAGAGCTTTTACATTGTGATTTATGGGGACCAGCCCTGGTTTTATCTATTTCCAAATTTAAATAGTCATAATTTACACTCAAATTATTAACACAAAAACAAATAGAACAAAGTAGTAAAGTGTTTATTACTCAGTGAGAAACATATAACAGATTTAGGAGGCAATAAACTCAAAACAACTCACCATAAACTTGAGATTACATACTCTTATTTATAATTAAATAGCTGAATTGACTTGCTAATATTTCTCAACTAATTAAGACTGAGATAACTTATGACTCCTAAATTTACTCAACTGACAAAGACCAAATCAACTACTAACAGCAAGAAGAATCAAATAAAATTATTGAAAAATAACACGAACTTGACTGACTCAAATGCAAGGAGGGGATGCACTAACTTGTAACACTCCCCCTTAGTGCATTCCCTCGATCAACACGACCAAGTTTTCTTCGAAATTCTTCAAACTTAGCTCTAGATAGAGCCTTTGTAAATCCATCTGCAACCTGCTCAGTTGTGCGTATGGCAAGCAACTCAATTTCTTGATTCAACACCTTGTCTCGAATAAAATGATAGTGAACAACAATATGCTTCGTGCGAGCATGAAACACCGGGTTTTCAAGTCTGGTGGCACTTTCATTATCACAAAAAATGGGAATTGGAAACTTTGAAGCTTCATTAACATCTTGAATAAGTCTTGTAAGCTAGATACACTCCTGAGAAGCTAAATTGGCTGCAACAACATATTCAGCCTCTATGCTTGATAACACCACTGTAGCTTTCTTCTTACTGCACCATGATATAACTGCTGAACCAATATTAAAATAGTAGCCTGTGGTGGAACGTCTATCATTTACATTCCCAGCCCCATCAGCATCAACATAACCTTGCAGAGAAAAAAACCCTTTGTGTTGATAAAGTAAGCCATAATTCAAGGTTCCTTTCAACACAAGGTTCCCAGCCCCATCTATCGCAGCAGCCATATGACCAACACAAGGTCGCTCCATGAACTGAGAAATTATGCCCACTGAAAAAGTAATATCTGGGCGAGTAATTGTCAAATACAATAAACTCCCCACCATTCTACGATATTCTATTACATCATGCAAAAACTCTCCTTCATCCTTTTGTAACTTGAGACCCGGATCCATGGGAGTAGTTGTAGAGTTTGATTTCTCCATACCGAACCGTTTTAGAATCTTTGCAGCATATCCTTTTTGTGAAAGGAAGTAACCATCTGATCGTTCTAATTCTAAACCCCAAAAAACAATGAGCTTCACCCAAGCTTTTTATTTCAAAATGAACAGATAAATCTTCTTGAAGGCGCATGATTTCAGCTGTATCACCTCCTGTAACTATCATATCGTCCACATAAAGAAGAATCATAATGGACAGTGATGCCTTCACCTTAACAAAGAGACTAGGATCTGAATTTGAAGGATAAAAATCACATAATTTAAAATACTTAGCAATCTTTTCGTGCCAGGCTCGAGGCGCTTGCTTGAGGCCATAAAGCGCCTTTTTAAGTCGACATACATGTTTGGGAAACTTCTTTGATACAAACCCCTGTGGTTGCTCCATGTAAATATCACGATCTATTTCACCATAGAGGAAGGCGTTCTTCACATCAATCTGCCAAAGAGTCCAACCTTTGCTTGCAGCCAAGGAAATAATAGTGCGAACTGTAACCATTTTCGCAACAGGACTGAAAGTGTCATCGTAATCCAAACCATACTGTTGAGAAAAGCCACGAGCAACTAAGCGAGCTTTGTGTTTTGTAATGCTTCCATCTGTTGCCTTCTTTAACTTGTAAACCCATTTACATGTAATGACATCAACATCATTTGGTTTGGGAACTAAATCCCAAGTAGAATTCTTCATCAAGGCTGCAATTTCATCCCTCATTGCATTTTCCCACTCAGGCTTCCCTTGAGCTTCAAGATAAGATATGGGTTCATTTTCAAGTGTGTCTTCCATCATAAAATACGCAAGGGCAGTACCTTGATTTAGCTGGACTTCATAATCATTTAAATGAGTGGGCAACCTTCGTTGCCTTGATGTTCTTCTTGGTGTAACTTCTCCTTGTGGTGGATCATTTTGAGAGATGGACTCCAGACTCCCCTTTTCATTAGAAATAACTTTAGTAGGAGGTGATTCAAGATTAGAGTCAGTGAGAGGCACAAATTCAGAATTTCCTCCCTGAGCAGAGCTTGGATAAAAAATTGAGACTTCATAAAAAATAACATCATGAGAAGTAACAATCTTCTTAGAGACAGGATCCATACACCTCCATCCCTTCCTGTGAGCATCATAACCAACAAACAAACACTTTCTTGCTTTGGGGTCAAGCTTAGCTCGGCTATGTTTAGGTACATGAACATAGCAAAGAGAGCCAAAAATTTAAAATAACTCACATCAGGCTTGGTATTGAACAACAACTCAAAAGGAGATTTTGATGTACCTGACCATGGAGGCAACCGATTGATCACATGACAAGCACATTGCATAGCTTCTGCCCATAGCTCTCGAGGGAGATTTTTATCATGCAGCCAAGACAAGGTGACTACCGTAAGATGTGCCAACTTCCACTCAGCAACCCCATTCTGTTGTGGGGTATTTGGACACGTAAATTGACTGAACTGAACTCTTTTTCCACCATCATCTTAAACCGCGCGAAGTGGGTGAGAACTTCACTCTTGTTTTCCAAAAAATATACCCAGCTGTACCGAGAGAAATCATCCACAACAACCATCATATAGCGAAGGCCACTGTAATTTGGAGTGCTAGTTGGTCCCATGAGATCAGAATGAATAAGCTGAAACATTGAAGATGCACGATTCATGGATTTCTAGAATGGAAGACGGTGGGATTTGCCATATTGACAACCAGCACATACTCCGCCTGAACGTTCTGAATTGAAGAGAGGAACACCCTTGAGCAATCTATTTGTTGATATTTGCTGCAACGATTGATAACCAACATGCCCAAGTTGAGCATGCCAAAGAGAGGCACTGGTATTTTTACTTGTCTTGTCAACATAAGCTTCACTAGCGGACAACACATACAAAGAATTTTTCTTTCTCCCAATGAAAAGAACATCAGCATCAATACACCTTAAATTCTTAAGGATCCATACCTTATCTGGACCGAACAGAACAAACTCTCCAGAGTTAGTGATTTGAGAGACTGAAGCAAGATTCTTCTTCAAGCCTGGTACTTGATACACATCTTCAAGAGTAAGACCTTCACCATTCGAATTTTCAGCTTTAACATTGAATTGTCCTTCCTTCATTACCGAGTGTAGTGAATTGTTAGCAGTCACAATCACTCGACTTCTTAGATGGGGATGAACATCAGAGAGTAATGTAGCATTTCCGGTGGCATGATGTGTGCAGCCCGAATCAACAATCCACTATTTCTCATAATCAATGCAACTACCTGCACTTGGGTCATTTTGATACATAGCCGAAGCAATATTATCAGGTTGATCAATTACCTCAATAGACAAACATTTGTCGCAGTTCGGTTCATCTTCTTCTTTCGCTTCATGTGCTATATTGACATCTGATTCTACAAGCTTAACACGACAATTTAGCTTAATATGTCCAGATTTGCCACACTTTTTACACACTATCTTCACGCGACAATTTGCCTTTATGTGTCCCACCTTTCCGCACCGATAACATATTAATTTGGAAGTGCTCGACTGCTCCCCCTCAGCTTTTTGCTGCTTTCCACCGCTTGATGAGTGTTTGTGAGCATTCCTTGTCTTCGACTTGTCTTTGACAAAAAGTGCATCTTCAACATTAGGAAACTTGCTAGACATTTGTTTAACCAAAGCTTCTTGGTTAGATAACAAATTCTCCAACTCAACAATAGATGGTTGGTTTGTCCACCCTTGAATAGATGAGATGAATGGCATGAACTCTTTTCTCAGGCCACGAATCAAATAGCGTCGTAGCCTTGCATCACTTATTGGTTCTTCACTGTCCAATTCTAAAATTTCTGCACACACATTCTTGATTTTGAGAAAATAATCAGAAATGGACATATTACCTTGAGTTAAAGAAGCAAGCTCATTTTCAAGGTATTGCAGTCACATTGTATTTTTCTGGGTGAACGATCTTTCAAGAGTATCCCAAATTTCCTTCGGTGAATCCAGCTTGCGAACATGATCAATATATTCCTTGCTGATCGAAGTTTTGAGAGCAAACAAAGCCTTTCCACTCTTTAGCTTCCATTTTCGTCTTGCATTGACAAGCTGCAGAGTATCATCAGGAAGTGTATCATCACCTGTAACAAGATCCCACAGATCATGTCCTTGAAGATAAGCCTCCATGCACAATCGCCAATATTGATAATTGGTACCAACAAGCTTCTCATTGGTCATTTGAGAAGCACCACTACCTCCGTTCATCTTGAAAACTGAGAGAAAAAAAAATGCTGCACACAGCCCAAAAAATTCACTGAGTAATTTTAAGAACACGTAGTGAGCAACCTGGCTCTGATACCATAACACAAAAACAAATAGAACAAAGTAGTAAAGTGTTTATTACTCAATGAGAAACATATAACAGATTTAGGAGGTAATAAACTCAAAACAACTCACTGATAAACTTGAGATTACAGACTCTTATTTATAATTAAATAGTTGAACTGACTTGCTAATATTTCTCAACTAAGACTGAGATAACTTATGACTCCTAAATTTACTCAACTGACAAAGACCAAATCAACGACTAACAGCAAGAAGAATCAAATAAAATTATTGAAAATTATTGAGTTTTGGCATAGTTTTAAGGCTCGTGATCATTTTTTCACCACATGGGCAGTGCTAGAGCTGAACTTTTGATAAATTTTCACCTTTATTTTCAGTATTTCTTGTATTATTAGGCATTCTGTTCTGATTTACATTAGCTGATAGACACCCAATGTTGGGTGCCCTATCTCAGATTTTGTAGCTGCTCACATTACTTGTTGTGTGGGTGCGATGTCAATGCAGTCTTCGACATAAGAATAAAATATGCAAATGTGGTCGGAAAACTATAGTAAGAGCCTTTGAGTCAATAGATAACCCTCATAGGCTATACTTCTTTTGTGCCGAGTGTTTAGTAGGTGTAATAGAATTTTATTTTCCTTGCTTATATTGCTAACATGTTGAAGTTACTGATTTTTCATGCAAACATGGTCAAGTTTTTCAAGTTGTGATTTGCTTATATTGCTACCACCAGTTTTTTTTTTTTTTTTCCAAGTTGTGCATTGCTTATATTGCTACCACCAGATTTTTTAAGTTGTGTTTTGCTTATATAACTAAGTTGTGTTTTCATATAGGCAGGTTCAATTTAAAAAAAAAGTGTAATTTTTTTCATGGTGTAACCCTTGTGATGAAGAGATGGTCAAGATAATTATCCAATGGTGATGGAACAGTGGGAAAAAAGGTAAACAACATAGATTTAAAGGTTATAAAGGAAGAAATAGTGGCTTAGTATTGGCTGATTTGGGTGCCAAGGTGGATAGAAAACATTTATCATACAAATGAACATGTAGAATGACATTGGTGGTTATTTTCTTTATCACCATTTGGGCCATTTTCAAATTTCTTTAATGTTACAAGCCAAAGAGAGTTTAAGACAATGTTCCTTTCGTACACTTTTGGTTAGACCAATTTAATTGTTGTGCTGAATGTATTTGGTTTTCTAGTGATGTAATCCAACAACAGTTGTAGTTTGAGACAACTTAGTTAACTTTGTTAGGAGCCATCTGTGTTTCCTATTTCAATGTTTGTTCAATTGTGTTTCTCTTGTTTGTTTGATCATCTTGATGAGGTTCCTGTAGTCATGCAACCATTCACCATCACCAATCAAGGATGGACTTGAAGGGAAAATCCCTTGGCTTCTTTCACTGGTCATCACCTTGGCGCTTTGTTGGTTTGTCCATGAATGATAACTGATGAGTTAACTTTGGTTGTTGTGGGCCAACAACCTATGCTACTGTTGAAAGCGTTTTTAGGCTGGACATGTTCACCAATTCACGCCTATGGCTATGATTACGATTAAAAAAAATAGAARGCAATTACTATTTTACCCCACTCTATGATGATGTGGCATTTTCAAAAATGTTCTCAACAGTAAAGGCTGTTAATTTTTTCCATGACTAATGAGCCCGTGTACGCATAGATCGTGTTCAAGCAMAATACCTATTTTATCCTTTCCATTTCTTTTCTTGAAAGTTGGATAATTCAACGGTTCAGATTGCATCGGCCTATACAATCCAACGGAGTTGATCATACAAGGAAGCATTTGTTAGATCCTGTGATTGACCGGTGCATTAGAATACAATAGTTTCAAACTTTTCAAGGATTGTAGGTTCCACATCACTATTTATTATAGGCCTCACGAGCAGAAAACAATCATAATCAAAGCTTGTTGATGGGCCCCCAGATCAATGTATTAATCAATGTTTTCAAAATCGATTTTGAGGTTTAACCGTTTTTGCCTCTGGGTCACAGGCCAACGATTGGACTATTCAGGTTGAATGGGCCAACCTGTGATGCCATAATTAAAATAATTAAAAAATATCTGAAAATACATATAATGCAAAAAAAAAAAAAATCATAAAATTACAAACCATTTAACTTTCACAAATCAAAACAGAAATATATTTTCATACCTTAAGATTTAAGAGGTTCAGATTTAATAAAAATAAAAAGTATATCGTTATAAAAATAAAAATTATCAATAGTCATAATATTCATAACAATAATTATTATTTATCAATATACAAGCAACTGGCATTTGCCAACTAGTGGAAAAGAAAAAAAATATTAAGATTCATAATCTAATTTAAGAATTGAGAGAATTCGATGAAAATAAAAATAAAAGATTACCTCTTCAAAAGGGTTGACAACTTGAAGCCATTTAAAAAATTAGAAAATATATTAGAAATTTAAAATGAATTCCTGAATGGTCATTGTAGGAAAGCTTACCCAAAAATCCAAAACAAAAATGAAAGTTTTCTAATTACAAAGTTTGAGATGTTTGAATCATTTGATATTTAGATTTCTAGAAAGCTAGAAATTAAAAAGAAACTCAAAAACTTACCCAGGAGTATCTAAATCACCCAATGCTTAGTTGTTTACACTTGCCAATGTCAATGTGGGGAATTAAAAAATGTTTGTGAAAAATTATAGTTGTCGGCATTAATCACTGCACTGGAGTCACCGGCATTAAATCTCAGTTTTAAACTTGATTGTTTTTTTCTCAAATCTCAAGCCGATTGAACCCCTGTTCCTATTTCGTTTTCCTCTGAGAGTCTGTAAACTTGAAACCCTAAACGAAACAAAATATAAAATGAAAGAGGGATCTGGCTTAAGCTGGGAGTTTGGAACAAGATGGTCATTTTCAAAATATTATGCCTAAAATTTGTAATGCAAAAAAAAAAAGAAACAAAAAAAAACCGAAATCCAAGCCGTCACCCGCTAATCAGATCGTCTGGTTCGCCGATTCAACCGTCTGGGTTGGTGGTTCTGTAACCTAGTTATAATTTAAAAGTTGCAAAAGTAACCTACCTAAAATTACAGCAATGAGCAAACTATTAAGGAGACGCTAATTAAGCATATATTTTGTGTTCACAGCCCAATCTGTGTGAGACTTGCAGATGTAGTCCTCCATCAATATTAAGAGTGATCATGGTTCTGTAACCAACTTCTTTCTGGTCGTCGCTTAGCCTGAACACAAAAGAACTTAACAACAGAGCTGAAAATATCTTCATCTGTCTGTATGCGAAGTCTTTTCCCAGACAAATTCTTGGCCCAGCCTGCACACCATAAAAAAAGAAAAAAAAAAAAAAACCTTAAGCTTAATTAATCTTAAGGCAAATGATGGAGAATAATCCGATCATGTTGCAGTCAGATCTTCAAATTCTAATTGCTTATAACCTGGAAAGCTGTGAACTTAAATTGGCTTTCCTGCCGGAAAAGACCACTCTCATTGAGCCATCTTTCTGGTCGGAAAACCTCAGCATCATCACCCCAGATGGATTTCATTCTGCCCATGGCATATGGTTGATAGGCCACCATGTCCCCTTTCTTCACATTGAATCCGTCTGGAAGGGTATCATCTGAGAAGCAAACTTTCATATCCTGTAACAAAACCAATACGCCTAAAAAATTCAAGTAGCAAACCCCTTTAATAGTTACGTTCTATGTAAATTTTGGATAAATTTCGATCGATATGAATTACCACAGGAATAGCAGGATAGAGTCTGAGGGTCTCTGAAATGGCAGCATGTAGATAGTGCATCTTGCCAAGGGATTCGTCGTTCAGGTTGTCTGCTAACTCATCATAAGAAGATGTATCTTTTTCTTTGATTGCTTCCTGAACTTCTTGTGCAATCTTTTCTTGTATGTAAGGATGCTTGCAAAGCATGTAAAAGAACCAGGAAAGAGTGGTTGCTGTTGTGTCTCTGCCTGCAATTATGAAATTCATAATTATATCCCTCAAGTACTTTGGATCTGTCTCGTTTAGTTCCAGGAATCTGGATAAGATGTCTTGTTTCTTCATCTGCTTCATTGTCATGCGAGCACAGTAAGATAGATTTCCATCGAGATTCAAGATATCAAATGGGGGACTCTAATTAATTAACCATGTTTTTAACTCACATGTGAACCAGTAGTAGTGTTGCAGTTTTGTTYCTGTTGGATCTTGTAACTGATTAGCCTGTATACGAATTTGTCAATCATCTTCACATTTTCCCTCAGTTCTGCTTCACTTCCGACATTCAGAAACTTCTTCATCTTCCAGAAAACATCGACATAGCGCCACAAGGTTAGTGCGCTTGAATCATCGAATGCCTTGGCGAACATGGTTCCATCAGTTGATCCACCGCTGCTGTCGAGTTCTACTCCGAATCCAACTTTGAATATGGAGTCTAGTGTTGATTTCATGAACAGATCCTACGCCAAACAACACCCACAAGAAGTCATTCTCTTTGTATTCACATGAAGAAGAGATGGGTTCTTGCAAATTAACTGATCACCTGAATATCAAATGACAGGCCGGAAGTTGCAGCCTGGAGGAGTATCTTGGCAAGATTGGCAGCATTCCTCCGGAAGACAGTGCTGCTGAAGCCCCTCAAATTACTACTTGAGAACTCGTAACTTGATAGCTTTCTCTGCTGTCGCCACTTCTCACCATCAACCGCAAAGATTCCATCACCAAGGAGATCCCGCAAAATCTCATTGTTATGCTTTCCCTGCAACGGTTTTCGCTTAAAGAGCTATGTAAATCAACTCTCATGTCCAGAGCTAATATAAAAATATGAAGAAAAATAGAGTTTACCTTCCCATAGTTAGCGAAGTTGGTTTTGAGGATGTATTCAACATTTGCTGGGTCTGCAGTATAAATCTCACTTCGAGATAGACGACTTAGCCGGTAAGTTCCATACTTGGAAGCAAGTTCAGTCATGTAGTGGTGTAATCTACTGAAGTTGAGTAACTGGTTGAAGATGGTGCCTGCAATTGGGTGGCGTCGCTTTTTCTGTTCCTCCGGTGGTGTTTTGGTGGCGAAGATTTTGAGTGTAAAGAGACAAAGAAGCATAGCAAAAGCTGTGAATGTGAGAGTAATGGGGTCATAGAAGGATTCCATGGCTGGACACCTGGGAAGAGAAGACAAGTGGGTCAGTTTAAATAGCACTCTGGATCTGTTGGTTACTGTAAAACCAGAGCTTTTCTGGTTTGTTTTTCTTGTGTATTTCATTCATAGAGGATTCAGATATATATACAGTCATTGAATCTCCTAAGTTTACAGGAACTCAAACTCAAATCTATCTTTCCTATCTTAACTATACAAGATAAGGATTAGAAGATATATACAAAGAAAACGGAGACTCCTACTCCTAATTCGATCCTAACACAGCGGAGTCTCCTAATCCCGGAGACTCCTAATTCAATCCTAACACAATCCTAACACCCCCCCTCAAGTTGGAGCATGCAGATTGTGAATGCCCAACTTGCGGAGAAAATACTCAAATTCTCTGTGACCCAGTGCCTTTGTAAAAATGTCAGCCAACTGAACGGTAGCTGACACATAAGCAGGATGAATGCAACCATTTTGAATCTCATCATGAACAAAATGGCAATCAACTTCAATATGTTTCGTACGCTCATGAAACATTGGGTTTGCTGCAATATGCAAGGCTGCCTGACTATCACAATATAATCGCATTGGGTTCGAATGCATCACTCCAAGAGCCAATAATAATCCCTTCAGCCATTTTAATTCACACGTGGCCGTGGCCATAGACCAATACTCTGCTTCCGTTGAAGAACGAGCCACAGTGTGTTGTTTCTTAGTTTTTCAGGAAATAGGCGATTTCCCAAGTAGAATAAACCACCCAGACAGGGAACGTCGGGACAAAGGACAGCTCGCCCAGTTTGAATCACACCATGCATATAACTGCAAGTCACAATCTGAACGCAAGAGAATTCCTTGACCAGGATTTCCTTTCAAGTAGCGCACCACTCGCAATGCAGCCTCCTAATGTCTTTCTTGCGGTTGCTGCATGAATTGGGACAGAACATGCACACAATATGACAACTCAAGACGAGTTGCTAAGAGATAAATAAGCCTGCCCACCAAGCGCCTGTATCGCTCAGGATCAGATAAGAGAGGCCCATCTGTCAAGGCCAGATTGTGATTCTGCTCCATAGGAAAAGGAGCAGGTTTTGCACCAAGCAATCCAACTTTAGTGATAATATCCAGAGCATACTTTCGTTGAGACAGAAAAATTCCTGTTGAGTTTCGGGCAAATTCAATGCCCAAAAAATATTTCAATGGTCCCAAGTCTTTCATATGGAAGTAGTCACTCAAATATTTCCTGAAGACTTGAATTGCCATACGACCATTACCTGACACGATAATGTCGTCCACATACACGAGGACAAGCACATGCACCTTGTCTCGACGAAAGGTGAATAGTGAGTAATCTGAACCTGATTGCTGAAACCCATATGTCTTCAAGGCTGAGGTTAATTTAGCAAACCAACATACCTGGTTTATCTGACTGAAAACCAGGAGGCATTCGCATGTAGACTTCCTCATGAAGGTCACCGTGCAAGAATGCGTTATGTACGTCCATTTGATGAAGCTCCCAATTCCTAACTGTTGCGAYTGCAAGAAAGGTACGGACAATAACCATTTTTGCAACTAGGGCAAAAGTTTCATTATAATCAATTCCCTCAACTTGCTTGTTCCCAAAAATCACGAGATGGGCTTTGTATCTTTCCACTGTCCCATCAGCGTTGTACTTGATTCGATATACCCATTTGCATCCTATGGTTCATTTTCCGGATGGCAAAGGCTCTACGATCCATGTCTGATTATTCTCAAGTGCCTGTATTTCTTTCTGCATTGCATCCCTCCATTTTTCATCCTTTACGGCCTCAGCAAAAGAAGTAGGTTCAACTC